TTGTGGTATGAGGAGATCCGTGAATTTATGTTCCCCATATTTCAAATATGTAACAATTCAACACTTCCATTACGAAATCAAATTCCTTGAACCATTAATTTTTCCTCAAACAACGAAAAATTGTCCCCGCGAAATATGTTATTTTACAGAAAATTTCTTTCTGTAGGAGAAATCCCATTTTGATTGGTGTATCAAGTTGAATAGAATAACCGGTGTATAAAACATAGAGGATATTCAATGTTTTGTAGTTGGATACGGAAATTATTTCACTATATATATACTGGGACAATATTTTTTTTGGTATTTTTACGAGTGCGAAGCACGAGTGGAAATATAAAAAAAATCCTTTCTCTCGAGTGAAATAAATTCCATATCCAACATCAAAACATTGAATTTTCAGTTTATTACATTGTCTTTTTTTTTGTTGTTGTTTTGTTGTTTTTTTTTTCGTAACGCCGTGACGTGGGCTTTGACTTCATATTTGAGCTGTTGTGAGACATCATAGCCAAGCATTTATCAGTCAATACACCTCCAATATTCACTTCGCCCTTCGTGAATATTGTACTCCTCGGGTGGCTAATCATCGTATTGACCTCAAAATAGTATTAATTATATAATATACTGAATTATTTTTTAAATATTTAGTGTTTTCAACAAGTTGTTACTCAAGTTTCACCTCAGTATGTCAACAATGGAAGCCGTTCTGAATAAAGGGCAATGTCACACCTGCATTAATAAAAGGAAATTTCCTCTCTCAATCGATGACTTTTTTAAAAATCATGTTCAATATTTTTTAAATATATATTTGCTGTAGTCGATATTTTTTCCACTTAGACAATTCTTACTTTTATTATTTTTATATAGGTCTTAAAAAAACTGACACAAATAAAAAAAAAATACGCTGCCTTTAACCTGGTTTATTTGATATTTTACCTGGGGCATTTATGCTTTTGCCACCTGCAAAGAAATATTTATGACAGACTTCAGATGAATCAAAATCTCAAATATTCATTTTTTTTTTATCACTTTACTTTATGTCTGTGAATTAATCAGCATAATTTGCTTCATCTGCTACAAGTACGGTTATCAAAGAACCAGTCTATAAAAGGGAAATAACTCGTACATGTATCAATTTTCACTATTTCGCATATTCTCAACTGATATCCTTAATTAATTACGTTGTAGTCACTTATAATCTACTGAATAAGATAAATTTGTAAATAGCTTTTATTAGGAAAAATAACGATTTAATTTTATACAAAACATTCGACCTTGGATGCACTTCAGGAAAAATCAGTTCTTCTCGAAGATAATATAAATCAGCTCATTTTCTTCACTGTGCTTGTGGTTGCCTTATTTGACGCTAATGGTTAAATTATATTCTTAAATATTGTAAAAATAATAGAAAAGGTCTTAATAGAAACACAAATTGTCAGTTTTATGGGACGTTGACAAGATGTTAGCCACAGAATGAGTGTGTCTTCATTCTACAGCATGGAAAATGTCACTTTTTCTTTCGAGATTAAAGAAAATTAACGGCGACAGCGAGAAATGATCGTATTTTTCTGGCATGATAAAACCATTTCTGTCGTTATACTTAAAATAACTATGTGAAGTCCTCTCGGTTCTGAAAGAACAATGAACTTGAGGAGGCAAGATCTTTTATTTAACGTGTCATGATTGTTTGTAACGACTCTCTCTCTCTCTCTCTCTACTTTTTTGCTTATATGGTGACTTACTTTATACATGTACTTCATACTTGAAAAAAATTGATAAAAGTTTAATGTTATTGGACTATAAACCAAAATCAGATACCGGAAAATTTGTAAATATTCCCTTTCAAAATAATTGCCTAGATGATGATTTTTAGTATTATTTACATCCCATACATGATTTCCGAAAACGTCCAAGAAAGACTGGAAAGCTCTTGTGATACCTTTTGGAAAAATATCGGATGGTAACAAGACTTTGAAAATAGGCCTAAAATATTTTTTTGCAGTTTACGATGCATTAATTAAGCAGGTGCACATAAGAATTTTTATAACGCGTTAACACTCGTGTGTGTGATTTATGGCATCTTTAAGTGAATGATTCAGTGCTGAGACAATCGCCCTGATTTTTCTGTCCGAGTAAAAGTTCTTAAAACTAAAACAGTCCTGTTGAATTTAAAATAATATTCAATCAAATCGGTGACAACAAAACAATGATATTTCGCGACTGACCACTTGACCACTACATATGTATTTCCTGCACACTATACGAACATGTAATCTGTACCATGAAAAATGCACGTTCATATCAATACATGTATGTAATGAGTGAATTACCCTTAATAATAAGGAAGCTTGCCGCGAGTAAAAAAGCAAAAAGTTTACTATATGTTAACAGCAGGATGGAGGATGACGAATATTTGTGGCTGACCTTTCGTGAAATATATTTGTTTTTAATATGTTAATTGTTGTTTCTTAATTCACGACGGTGTATTACTAAGTAATTAGGAAATGTTAATTACCTATTATTGGATGTTAACAGAGCGTGTACTAGTCTGCCCTCTCGCTGAGTAGTAAAAACAAAGATATGAAATAGACATGTACGCTAAATCGATTTCCAATTTGTGTAAATGTTGAAGTAGATGCTAGAAATCTTGATGCAAGAATTAGAACACAGGTACATTGTAAGATATACGATTAGTGTGCGCATGTTGGTCTTATGAACTGCCTACACACGTTAAAAAAATTCCATAAGATGCATTTTTTCCTTATCATTTGTTTGAACATTGTAATCTTCAAACCACCTCATTAGCAGTTGGGATCTCTTCGATTTATATACGTTCTATATAGTTTTCAGTTGAAATGCAAAGCAGGTGCGAGCACATTTATATGTGTGGCAACTCGAACATTTCCCTATGTCGTATCCTACCTATTTATCAATAATTTAATAAGTAATGAAAATCTTTTAAATCTATATGAAACGTAGAAATATATCAACAAAATAAACCCCCACGGAAAGAAATGGACCTCTGGAGCGCGAGATGCGCTATCAATGATAGGTAAAGACGCCGGGACCACTTAACCTTTTTTGCTGCGATAGGAAAAACACAGAATTTGATATCGCATTGTTAGAAAGTAAGATTTTTATCTGAGCCAAGTTATAAATCAAGATTCCGGGTTCCTTGAAAAGTTCGTGTCCCGACTGATTGGTCCTAAACCTCTAGGTCACGACAAACCAACCGTCAAGCAGGAACGCAATAAATTTGTCCCAGATTTATAACCTTTCTTATTGATTTGGCTAGCACCAATGTCTCAGCATCTGGAAGCGGAGATTTGTTACAATACCTCGCGAAAGTAATGTCTAGCTAAAGCAATACATCGCACAATGCCCATAGTACTGCCAAATGTATTATTAGTTTTTGTATTGTTCATCGAAACCATTAATTGATTCATTTAATTGATTGTTCACAACATATTGTTCTTACGCTCTCTTAAACCCCTATGGTGAAACAAAAACATTTGTCAGTACTTGTGAGGTTTTGAGGTTAACACCTGTCCTTAAAGAGACCAAATAATCAGAGAATTTCAACAGACAATTTATAAAAAAACGCATTTTCTCTAAAATATTTGTTTGTAAACTATTGTCGATACATGTAATGTTAATCCACAAATCTTACCAGTGCGCTTGGTAATGTAATGTAATATTGTAATTTAATAATGTATATATTAATTCTTGAACGAATATCGTTATCTATTATTCTAAAGAAACTTTTATTTATAAGCAATGGCCATAAAATAGTTCTGATACACAAACTATTTCATCCTTGTAAAAATAACAAATCATTCCCTAAATCCAATGTAGAAACTTTTTTTTTTTAAATTCTCAGTATTTGCCATTAAAGATGTCTTTAATTGTTTATTCCATATGAAGACAACTTCAGAATTGTCCATTTTTGAAAATCGTTGTGTCCAGTAATTTTACCTGATAGAATCGAAAGAAAACAATTAATTAATAGAAATCATAGTCATAGCACAATTTCAAAAATAACATTACTGAAATTAAATAGTAAAAAAATATATATAAATCTTTATTTGTTTGTTTGTTTTTTTTGGATTTCTAAAGTAAATTGAGTTATGTAATGTGTCTGCATTGTTTCCTGCTGGACAGACCATGGGCGTAATTTTGGCAAACCACTCGGTCGGAACAACCCTCATTGCACCCTTGGGACTATAATCATGCATACAACAAGAGTAGTAATTTAGGCCCATTTAAGTCAAAGGTAAGAGGAAGGATCGAATTTTCTACAATCACTGGGTCCGTTGATGTCTAACGCGCACGTTACCTCCTCGTAAGGGGAACACAATGTTATCCATTATAAAGATATAAAAAGTAGATGTGATTTATAAACAGGACAGTGAAAAGTATCCAGGTATATCATTAGCTGTGATTCCCAATCTCATATGCATATAGTGAGGCGCTTGCTCGATTTTCATTGACGCGCATCGCATTCAAGTACGTTATGTCAGTGACGGAGTTTTGCTGTGATCAATTCTCCTATGTTTACGTTCGAGGACGGATCACTTTATTGTATAATTTTTCCTGTCCACATAAAAATCAGATTATAACGGATAATAAGTTGACACTTATCTGAAAAGATGGATTTATTTGGTTAAGGGTTTAGCCATCATTAACATGTAAGTACAGACTACAATATTTTGATACATTTTTTTTTTTTTTTTGCATTCTAAACACGATAAAAAAAAGTACATAGAGTGTAGATAAGCATGTTGAATAGAAAACAAAAACAACCCGGATAGTCTTATCTTGGCATCAGGAGTGATAGGAACGGCCGTCATATGGTCAGCCAAATAACGAGATTTAGAGATGACGGCGGTCGGCTGCCAGACAGTTCCATCAAGCGTCGAAAATTCTCAGACGAGGTGTTAGGCATCTTCACAAGAAAACAATGATATCTTGGGTATATGTTTTGCATCAACAAAAGTTTTTCCTTCATTATTGGTGTTAATAATGTTAACGGATTCTAGAGATACCTCTAGCCTCTGACTTTTTGTAGAGGACATACAGTGTCTTTCTTCGTGGTGCGAAACCATGTTCTTCATTTGTGAGTGGATCAAAGAGATTTTTACCAGAAATGTTTGTTGTACCTGTACCTTTTGAAGCCTGCTGTCGCTGAATGACCAGAAAATCTCAGTTGCCCCTTTAGTGAGGTACAGACTCTAGTCGGCGCTGCAATCGGCGCTTAATGGATGGATGTCATACTCGATTCCGGTTATCATAATACATTAGCACAATAACAATAGAGTTTCGCATGAGAGTTCCAGCTGGTAATGTGCGAAAAATATTAGCACAAACTCTTTTGCTTCTAAGAACTTAACCAAAGGACATTAAACCAGTATGAATACGGTACGTTTGTTAGTTCAATCTTTGGCTGTTCGTGGACCAAGATGTAAACTGATAAATTTTTGATAGATAATATCTGGATTTTGCCTACCTGAGTGAACAAGGTACGTTTTTTAATCGCTTAAGAATAAGTTGTTTTATTTGACAAGTGTCAAGAGTACATTTTGTAAAAAATAAGGTAAATGGTGTTTAAATTGTAATCACTTCATATATTCTTTGAATTTTCGACTGCGTAAACGATATGGCATATCTTGATTAGCATTTTGGAATACATTGATTGGCAGCGGTATTAAGAAGAGTAAATTTAGCCTGTAACTAAACTATAAGAGTTCATTCAAAGCCTCGGGCAAATAATGACGCTTAAACGTTCTTAATCTTAGATCTACGATCTGTATACCAGTAAAAGTTTATTATTTAAAAAGAGATTAAAATGAATAAATGGTTTGTTTTTTTTTAAAATTATTTAGACAAACACGATACATTGTGTTTATTTATTTAAGGGTTTTTTTTCCATTTTATTTATTTTTCGAATGATAATTTAAACAATTTTTTTATTTATTGATTTTTTTTTTTTATCGAAACTGGTACTTTTAAACTACTTGAATCCTTATTCAAATCATTCTTTAACAGCGAAGAAGTCCTTTTCTATCCCCTTTACTTGACTGCATTATTTTTTTATGATAAATTAAGTGTTAATTTGTATTTGTATTGCATATATCACCAGAAATTAATTCATTTTTCTTGACTTAAACAACTGAACTGAGGTTGATCACCGGATCACATGACTCTTTCATATATTGGCTTCTAAAGGCTTGTTTTCATTTTTTAAAATGAATTTATAATCTGTATTTAGTGTTTGTAAAATTTGTCCAAGCTAATTTGAATTGGTTCGGATTTGTTTGCTCGAGAAACCCAGTAAAAGTACACGACGATCTCTATAATCAAACATTAGAAACTTCATAACAAGAAACGATAAATTTAGATTAATTTAGAACAGAATTATTTATATCTAGAATGTTATTGAATTTTAAAATCTGCTAATCCTGTATCGTATAGTCCAACCTTTCAGCGTGTAAAAAAGTTCAAAAGAAATATTTGTAAACAATTTCAACTCTAAAGTAGATTTTCTTATCAGTTTGTAAATCCGTACTGTACCCATTATATCATATATTCATGTCTTGGAGATCAACCACGAATGTACATTTGGTATGAGAAAGCAGGGAATCGAATACTTTGTTTCTCCGTGTTTCTGGTCTGTGCCAATTACCTTGAAAATGTACTCACATTCCTAAAGCTTGTTAAAACGGAATACAACTGACCCGTGGATTGTAACTTCTTAATCACCGCCTGATGGTACATTTCCCATGCTAGAGCCTTATGCAATTCAGAGCGGGTTTTTATCAATTTATCTCTTTATGCCTTAATCAATAATGTTCAAAGTCCACAGATTCATTGCAAAATCGTTGATGCAGAATATCTTTATATTTTTTTTATTTGAATTTGTCAGTAATTGAAAGCATTCTTGTCGGGTAAAATAAGAAAGATGACTTTGCTTCCTTGCAATGAAACAACCGAATCGCTTTAAGCACCAACCGAAAGAAAAGTAGATATTTTTTCTGTCGTTAATTAGCAAATATTTACAAGTCTGGCCTGTCTTGCAGCGGTTCAATGCTGTAACTCGTTAGTTAAAGAATGTGATAGCTTATATGATTAATGAAACATGACCAGCAGTGCCATTTCTAGACACAAAAAACGTTTCCCAGGATTAATGGCAGGTTTCAACTTTTAGAATATCATTGAATTCTTGATTGATTCTGATCATATTATGCCGCGTTTTCAGAAGAGGTTTTCAACTAATAATGTTAAACTTTGTAGACTCAACAGTTCCCTTCAAAAATCATTAATAAACGACAGAAAGTTTTTCATGATTATTGTTTACGTGTAGGAAGTTTATTTTAAAAAAAGGGAGGGGACTTTAAAAAAAAAAACTAAATTCGTTTTACACTTTTTAAGTGGTGGACATTGAGCCCCAGCCACAATTATTCTTATGATGAATAATTCATAATGACCGTTTTCCATCCTTGATGTTTCACGATGCTATTGTATGTATGATTTTGTGTTAATTAAAGAGTGACAAACTGGTATTGGAATATTGCATGAAATATGTTTACATCACAGATCATAACTGTATGATTTGTTCAATTAATTATTTCCCGTGCTCTAGGAGTAATTGTTTGAGGATTATAATGTATTCCATGTCAACGAATGCAGTTGCACTATCTTTCTCCATTATGGTTCTCGAAAATAGATATAAATCTGTTTAGACTACATAGTGTGCAGCGCAAATCTTCAAGTTAAAACTGAAATCTAAATAAAGCGCTCTTAACAGGTTAACCCATTCCAAACTAATTGAGGGGCTAAGACCATTGTAAACATAGCGTGTGGTCTGAACGACTGCAAAATTTGTGTTGCGTAAGGAATTGCACGTTTCGATAATTTAAAAGAAATAACAATATTTCCCTGGTGTCTGTAGTTTGATTTTGAATGTGTATAGTACGTATTTTGGGTACGATAAAAACATAGGTATTGGTATGTTTTTTTTCTTCAGTACACTTGTAGATATCCTCTTTAAAAATAAAAAAAAATAAAGAAAACATAAACGATTGCAATCGTTTACGTTAAACTAGAAAACACACTTTTATACTTATTTATCCCCCCTTTCAAAATAGATTTAATTTCAGAGCAGAATTATCTGCGAATTGCAACCGGACAATATGCAGAACTCAGAGGTTCCCTCCTAGCATAAAAACACTTAAACATTATGATGCAAAACTATCAATTTTTCAATGGACTTCGCTATTGATATATTTTTTCTTTTTGAAGATGACCATGGCGGCACAGACTCCCATTGACGTTAACCTTACCACGCCTCTTTATAATGAATCCACCACTGTTCTGGAATACACATACCACAATATTTACCCCAAGTTCTGCCCTGAAGCAGTGGCGGTCGACAAATACGTCACCCCTTACACATACGTCATCGGATTTCCAGGGAATATCTTTTCCCTTATCATTTGGCTCCAGCGTCGCATGCGGAACTCCTCTGGATATTACCTTGCTGCTCTGGCCCTTGTGGATCTTTTGTTTTTGTCACTGCAAGTGGTATATGAACTCAATGAGAAGTGGGAGGTAAAGTGTCTGGATTTACCATTTGTTTGTGAATTTTACCCCATTATTTTCTTGACCTCTCAGTATCTCTCTCCCATCCTCGTGTTGTCTTTTACTATCGAGAGATACATAAGTATTTGTCACCCTTTTAAAAGGGAAGCGTGGTGTACAACAAAAAATGCAAAAATTGTAATTATTTCTACAACCGTTGGTTGTTTATGCATCAACAGTATCCAAGGCTTCTTCTGGTCTTACGATTCTGCCAACAAAACGTGTCTTCTCCGACATTCAGTAATTGAAAACGGAACGTCCTCTTTCTGGGCAATATGGACCTGGTGTGTGGAGGCGTTTGTTTTTCTTTTAGTGCCGTTGTCTATCCTGTACTTTAATATTCATGTTATTGTGGAAGCGAAAAGACTTTCAGAATTTGAACAAAGCACGTTACATACACGCACTCATCGAAATTCTGCAACGACAGTTATGTTATTGGCGGTTTCATTTTACCAAATTTTTACGACACTTCCGGTGACAATCGTTGTAACCTTGTATTATACGTTTCCTCCCGATAAATTAAGCCTTTTACCAACTATAACCGATAAATGGAAATCCCATTTCCAGTACTATTGGGCCAAAACTATAATTGAGGAGATAGGTTTGACTCATTATGCAGGAAACTTTTATATTTACATGCTGACTGGCAAAATTTTTCGACAGGAGTTCAAAAAACTTATGCGGCCATTAATCGGTGGATTGAAGGTAAAACTCACAAACTCTTCAACAACTGAATATACAACTGTTCGAACTGGAAGTGTCAAGCATAAAAAGGAAGTCACGGTGCGCATGTGCAATGGAATTGCAAATGGTCACCCCACAGACTCGGCAGAAAGTGAGCCAGTTCTAAACTCTTCGGAAACGCAACTGTGACATAATTGTGATATTAATATAGTGTAAGTGTATTCAAGTGTGAAGAATTACTGGACCAAACATATTATGTTTGAAGTCTGTACGATTGATTGTATTTATTTAATGTGTATATAATATTTATGCGATATGTTCTGTTAATTTGCATAATCAGTAATTCTGGTTGATACATTGAAAAAATTCATTTAGATGCATCTATGTTCAAAGCAATGTTGAATGCATTTGTTTTTCTTAATAAAGTTAAAAATAATTTAGACACATATTCTCAATCACGCCAACGGGATATTTATCCAACTCATCGATTTTGCAAATGTATTAGAAATATGGCATGAAATTGGGAATTTTTTCACTTTGAGGTGTCAGTCGAAACAATAACTTGTAAATGATATGAGGCAATTATATCTGTATTGGTTTGTTCAAGACATCAATCATATTGACACTTCAGCAATATTTTCTTCATTAGCTTACTCTACTTGGCAAGTATTAAATTTCCTAATTAATATTTCCACAAACGGAAAGAAAAAATACTTCGTTTTGAAATTCTTCCCATTATACTTTAGAAAAGAAGGTTTAAAAAAAAAATCCTGGTTCAGGAAATAGCACAAAAAATGAAGATACTCCAGGGATCTTTGGTGAAGCAAGTTATCCTACTAAATCATATGTAATAACTTAATATCTTTGTAAATAAAGCCTTTGTTATGATTGTGTGTGTCCTGGTCATCCTGTAGGGACTCATTATATGTGAATCTGAATCAAAAACAAGGTCTTTGGGCCACTTTGAAGTTTTAATGAACTCGGAGTCTTAAGTGTAATGACCCTTTTCTCTAAATTTCACAATTTTTTTGTAACTTCCCAACATTGGTTTTCATCAACAACTATAGCATTTGATTCCAATGGAAAACAGTATGAGAAATGAAGTGGTGCTTATTTTTCAAGAGATGAATTTTATGTCTGAACATGATATGATAAAAGTTTGACTCAGAGAATAAAAGCCAGGCAAAAAGAAATAAAACTTAATGTTTCCGTCCTGTGTTGGTTTTGCTGGAATTGTCTATTCAAATATCTGTACTACTACACTTTGTAATGAAAAACTTTGGGAATTTTCAGGAAAATATACTTGGAAGTTACATGTATCTCTCTTATCAAAGGATTGGTCCCCCTTGATATGTTTCCTGTGACCTTTAGAAATGGGGAATGATCTTGATCTCAGAGGTTGAAACATTCCTGGACAGTGAGGTGTCGAAATCACATTGGAAAACACGCCAGTTTAATAACTGTTTATTAAAATACCGGTATACTTCCTTATACAATATAATATCCGTTACATTTGGCATTGTATATATCAAGATCTCCATGTAAGGCAAGTCATTTATCATATACTTAGTAGTAAATATACTGATTCTGCACTGTACGATACGGGTGACGTCACAATACGCCATATCAAGGACCGGTCCGAAAATCCATATCACGTATCGGACCGGCGGGCAAAAATCCATATCAAACCGGAAGCAACCTTTGTATAAAGTTCAAAAGTTAATTTACTTGATTTTATTTAAATATACATGTAAAATAGTTCTTTAATAACATTCGTGGTCTTAATTTTTTTCAGTTACCTAAAATTGGCTCGATTAAATTTTAAAGAAAAAGGTCATAAACAGGCACGAAACATTCTTCAATGACTTTTTGTGAACTCGCATATTAAGTATTTTAAATATATGATAAATAGAATACTACATACTATGTCACATCAGCCCTCGGGCCCCATATCAGCCCTCGGGCTGATATGACATATGATATGGATTTTAGTATGTAATATTCTCTATATATCTGATGACAGGGGTATACCTTCTGACGGTCCATATTTTGATATCATGAACAGATACAAGTGTAAAAATACAAATTTGTGATTTGCGAAGTTACGTTACCTTATGATTTGTTAAGATCAAGACATTTTGCATGCATGGATATGTAAAAGCAAATATGTACAAGTGATCACGTGATCACTGTGGACGTGTTCTTGATGCTTTATTAGAACATAGACCACCATGCCGTTGTTAACGTAGTCGCGACACGACTCTTGCATTAGGTGTCACCACGAATAGGAAACCAGCTGGAAAGCGTCGCTGGACATAACCATCTTTGTGGAAATATCCCCCTTTGATGCCCGTTTAAGTGGGATCACTATAGAATTCTAATGAAAGTTATATGTAGACGGCTTGTAATCATGGTAATAGCGTACGCTTTACAAAATTGCTAATAGAATGCATTATACGTGTACTTTGTTTCAAGAAGAAAGGATTTTTAACAAGATTGCAAAACTCGGAAGTGATTACTTCTTGTAAGATACTCTGTGTGTAATGGTGCGCTGTCTTATGGTCTTATAAAAGCCGACATGTCTTTTATTGTTTTGAGTTAGCCATTCAAGGCATATAAAGTTAAGAGTCGTCAAATATTCTAACTCTATTGATTTTGTTTTAGGCTACATGATGAAACACCAGCAAGGACATGATGTAGAAAGGACGTATCAGACCCTAACGTAAACCAATTTAGCACTCAAAATTAGGTCCTTATCGGATAATTAAAATTTCCATTGACCACTGTTCATGCATGATTACCTTATCAATAATTTATCAATCTCAAAGTTCTATCCAAGTTTGGTCAGATTTTTGCCATTATATTAAATCTTAAATTCCGATAACGTTTCGACGAACGGTCCGAACAATTATATAAGCTTTTTTTTTTCTTTTTACATGTCTCTTTGTGACAATCCTCTTTTTGATATTTTGTTGTTTTTTTTTTAAAAATCTGTTCAATATCAAATGACTGCCATATTGTTCCTAGTTTCATCGAACTATCTGAACTATTGACAATGGCTAATTGAAAGACTGTCCTCAGAAAATTGTTACCATTAATTCAATGATAATCGACTTGGCTTAAATATTCTCAAGGGAAACTAAGTGTGACCAGTCATATATGTTGCATGGTTATAAATGCGTGCGGGACGAGGCATGGGAGTATCAGAGGAAATAACCCAGGAATAATTTAACATGTCGTTACACAATAACGTTAAATCTCGCGAGAATTCGTCTTGAGAAGAAAAACAACAATCTTATATTTGCAAGAAGTACAAACTAAAATCAGAGGGTTGGTGTTAGATTTTTAAGTATAAAAAAGATCATTGTACGATATAGATCCTCTTTCATCTGCATAGTAGCTGAATCGGTCAAAGCCACAGATCGAAGAGGCAAAACAAAAGACAGACATGTCGTCCTCAGGTACATACATATAAATGTCCGTTCATGGTCATTGTTCTTTATTAAGCACATATCGGAGTCTCGGGGATTTGTTTAATATACAATTGGAGCATGCTGTCAAGACATTTTCCTTGTTATTGACCAAATTATCTTCAAACAAAATCTCATATAAATGCCAAAACTGCAAAATGAACAGAAAAAAAAATCTTGCATGAAGAGACCCAGCTGTTTTATTGATATATCTCTTCTAATCGTAATTGTATGTTCTGAGGAATTCCTTGGTCACTAATTGTTTTATTTTATAACCTTCCACTACCCTATGATGTGACCCTCCCGTACTTTTGAAGAACAATAATTGCAACAAATACGTATTGACCATGCATTCCAGATTTTCATTCGTCAATTAAGTATGGCGGACAATTATGTTTATCGTAAGTCGGTTGATTGAGGAAATTCACTTGTCCTTTATTTATAGGTTCAAAGTAATGCTGGACCAATTATAATTGCATGCGTTATAAAAGACAAATCACGAACTGGACCTATACATGTTTAGATATATTATTATAGTATTAACTTTCATTTACAGACTACGTCATTTTTACTCATATTTACAAAGAGAGTGACCGATTAAACTTTGATGACGTTCATATAATTATATGGTACTCAAGAGTCAATAGTATACCTCTGGTTTCAAGGACTAACGGAAAATTTTCAAATAAATAAATAAAGAAATACAAATAACAATTCATAAAGTCATGCTGTAAACAAAGAAAAGAATATTCCCAGGGTTATGAATAATTCTTTAGGTTGTGTATTTTTTTCATCATTTATATATCGTCACTATACCATTCGAAGAAAGTTACAAGTAAACTTTCAAGACCAGAAAGTAAATAATTTCATAAATGTTGCTTTTCTATAAATTTCTTTTATACAGATAATTGTATACAATCATGTAGTTACATGTACCCATCAGTTCTGAGATTCCTTTTCGCATAGCTCAAAATTTTAGACTTAGGATGACGAAAATTCATCAAGCTTTTGATTAAAACCAATTTTTAAGCATATTTATTCTGAAAATCTTTTCGTAAACATTTTATACGGTATAAATACTGAGCATGCGCAAACAAGAAATGCGTGATTAATTTCATGGTAATTTCTAAATATTACTTGCTCATTATACGGATATTTCTCATTTATTTGCTTTATTAAATAAAAATATATATAGACATTTTAAGGAAACAGATTATATACTTTCTCAAATACTGTGAAAGTATTTAGTGCATTACGTGGTTCATAATTCACTATGTTCGCGATCAAAGAATTTTCCGCGAACCTAAAGACATCGTGAATATTGTGGATATATATGTCAATGTACCATTCGTATATCAAATAAGTGTCATACACTTTAAAACCTGAGTTATCTATTCAGTTGTACAAATATGTATAAGTCTAAATTGTACATCTATATCTATAAACAAGGACTTATAAACAGAAATAAAAAGGGGAATACACACCTGTTTATCCAACGACTTTTCAAATATCTAGATGATACAATGTAAGTTTTGCTGAAAATGGCAATTTAAATTTAATTTAACAGAAAAAGAATGTGAAGGACAATGGTTTGTTTTACCCTTGCTGGAAGGCAGACTGTGACTGATACATGGCCGTAATAGATATCCATACATGGAGAGAAAGATTTATAATAATTTATCAATATAATTTCCTTTTTCACCATCCTAGATATATATTTACGTAATTAAACTGAGAAACCTGATCTACCAGAGATGTAATATGAACCCTAGATTCGATGCTTAGCTTGTTTTTCTTACATATAAAAAAGATATAACACATATATTTAGAAGACGTAAATTATCTAGTATATGAAGTCAAAGGGACAAAGCACATGTATACATTTCTTCAGCTTAATTTCAGAGTCCCTGTCCTTGAAGGTCCAGTGTTTTAGAAAGACAAATAAATACATAGTGATGGTTCTGTTATAT